TGAGATGAGTTCATCCCAACAAAAGAAACAGGACTATAAAACTCAATTTTGTGACAATCTAAAAAAGGGGGCAGGAATAGTTTTCATATCCCCCCCCCTCTGGGCAGAGGGCTTGGGTGGGGTGGGACTTCAGAGATCTTCTGTTCACAGGGAAGCAGGTGGGGGACATCTTCAGAGTTTCTCTGGGGACGGGACCCAGATGTAGTGCCCAGACTGGTCCTCAATGATCTGTTTGATTTTGCTGTAAATCTCTTCAAGAGAGTCTCCTTGTACGATGGCTGGAAAAGGACAGAACAAGCAAGACCTTGAGCATCACGCAGCGCTGCGCCTTCCCCACCACGAGCTACGGGAAATGGGAGAGGCCTTCACTCTGCACCAAAGGGGATGGTGTGGCGCAGCCAACAATTAATGAATGAGACAACCCACGTCAAAGGACCTGTAACAGGCACACGATGACACAGAGGGTTAACCCAGCGTGTCCAAGGGGATTAGTGAGAGCTGATCCTGAGCTGGCAGAGCTCCTCACACGTGTGAAGTGCTGGCCGGGTTCTCCACAATGGGCTGCTAATCAGCTTTGCAAACTGTGTCACACCACCGTGCTGAGGCTGTGGGCAGCTGGCCCTGGCCCCGGCACTCCAGCACGGTGGACGAGAGGGCCTCATGCAGACCAGCCGGTGTGCACTGAGCGCGTACCCCGAGGTGCCAGATTTGTTCATCCCCTCTCATCCGCTGCAGAGGGCTCCTCCTGTTTGTTGCTTCCTCTGCTGCAGGGTGGCAATCGCAGCACTGTTGGGCTGGAAGAGGCCAGCTTAGGGCTGTCACTCCCAGCAGTAACTTGCCCAACGACCAGCAGCAGTTTCACTGCTTAGTACAGACACAACACGAAGCACTTCACTGTGCTTCCTACACCAGAGGAGGAAGAGGCACATGGATGGCCAAAGCTTTCCGGTAATGCCGCCTCCCTTTGTAGCACAGCCAGGACCATCCTCCAGCACCTCTGTTCCCTCATTTTAGGTTCTTGGCACAGAACTTGCTACAGCAACCATCTCTCTGCCCACTACCCACTTCTTTCAACAACAGGTTTTGGCCAAGCACGCTCCTTCCCCAGGTCAACTTCAAACTCACGGTCCAAATGCACGATGGCATGCCGAGGGTCTGGCAAAACCACAGCACACGCTTCCTCTATGCTCTTCCTGGAGGAGCAGCTGGCAGCTCTGGAACTGCTGCTCAGGACAGGAGGTCTGGGGAAGTCTTTTACCCTGTTTGTACCCATACATTTGCTCAGCTGAGATCCATTTTTGGAAAATGTTCTGCTTGGGATTTTCCCAGTACCTGTTAGGTGGGTCATACAGGGTTTGGCAGGATTATCACTCCTCAACTTTAGAAGAAACAGTTACTGCACTGGAGGAAAGACAGAAGACCGGTTTCTCTGCCTCTTCACCTGCCTGTGATTTTCCAGAATTAATCACGTTACAAACATTAGTTTCCTTAAGGCACAAGGATGCCTGTGCTATGAGCAGCTCATCTCTGCAGGCACAAAGTGCCAGGCAGCCCCTGACTGGCTCTTCAGCAAAGACTACTTAGGAAGCCAGCCAAACTTCCAGTCTTTTTTTGGGAGATGTTTTCTAATAACTCAGGACAGTCTCCACTATTTAGGTCACTAATTTTTTTTATCTTTCCTCTTTAAAATGACTCTTTTCTCTTTTTGGAAACACTCTCCTTTCGCCCGTGCAAGGAGTTTTATTTCCTGTAGCCTTGTAGCACCCTGAATCTATACTGTGCTTCCCCTGCCTGGGGATTTTTTCTTTTTTTATTATTATTAAAGCTGGTGATAAGCTTTCACAAACTTGGAAAATCCCGCCTGAGAACTTGTCTCCTTCTCTAGAGCTCGTTTACTCTTATCCACTGATCTTGGAACAGTCCCCTTGCAGAGCCCTGCTGGCAAAGTGCCATTTCTCTTTTGCTTTGATGAAGCTGGACATTTTCCCATGCCCCTGCAGTAAGACAGTGCTGGTAGAGAGGTCACAGCTGCCAGCTGGAAAAATAAAATAAAGCAGATACAAGCCTGCTCAGAACACTCACCTGTAAAATACTCTCCAAACTCTTGCTCGAGTTTCATGGCTTTGTCAAAGACCTTGTTGGCCTGTTCATACGTCTGTCTCCGGTTCATCTCCCTGCCATGTACAAAAAAATAGAAACTTAGCTCTTTTTCTTAGCAATGAACAGAAACAAAAATAGCCCACGGAGCCAGGGTGCCTGGGAAGCCTCTGCACACCAGGAATGGAAGCTGTGCAGGACCCAGCTCTCAAACGCAGGACCCCTCCCCACACACTCTTTGCTGCCCTGGCACTCCATCTCAATTTCCAGCAGTTCTTCCCATCGCTGCCACCCCCCTCTCCTTTCACCATAGCACAGAAGTGGACTCAAATCCAGACAGTCCTCCAAATTTCCAAGACCGCCGCGCTGCTTTTCCAGAGCCTGTCACCACCCTCCTTGCCTAGGTTCCCTCATCTTCATACAACACCCAAATAAGCAATTGGATCCCTTCGGGCTTGAGAAGGGGTTTTCCCAGTCCCCTCAGTGTCAGCAGAGTCTCTTCTGATCCCAGAGTCCATCTCTAACTACTCAGTCTCCTCACAGATAATATTCTCTGCTGCTGCTCGGAAGGGTTGCAAGCTCAGCTCTTATGTCCTTTCCAGCCTGCGCTCCCCAGGGCCAGAAGCAGCAGGACAAGCAGAAGGTTCCCCCTTCGGCACATCAGAGGAAATGTCTCCTCTCTGCTCCCCACGGCTGTCCTGGCTCAGCCACCATCCAGCTGTGATCCCCCACTATGGGCTGTCCGCAGCTCTCCTGGCTAGACTCAGGGCCCAGGTAAACAGGGTACAGCAGGCACATTTGGGAGCATTTTTCGATTTCTGATGGATAATCCTCTTTGGGGCAAACGAAGGGCTTTAAGCTGGAGCAATCCATGGAGCCTGGATGAGCCATGGCACTAGATGTAGAGGGACACCACAGAGACAGAAATGGGCCCAGTTCCTCTTAACAAGGGACAAGTTCGGCACCATCAGTAACCTCCTCTGCTTTCTAAAACTCAGAAGCAGCAGACATACAACCCCCCAACATGGCAGAGCCGCTTGCCCTGGAGAGGCACAGAACATAGCATTGCACTTACATGAGAGCTTCAATGGATTTTGGTTTGATGAAAATGGCAATGGGATAAAGTTGTGCTTGTTGCAACCTCTTGATAGCATTGCCAGACACATCCAAGATGCAGTGTTTCCCCTGGAAAGGAGACGATTGGAATCAGACCTACCCACACAGTCTACTCCATGCAGAAAACAGCTTGCTCCTACAGATGTGCTTACAAAAGGAGGAGCCACAGAGATGAAACACCAGTCCTGAGACACAAGCCAACTCCCAGCGGCCTTATGTTCCCACCTGCTTAGGGCAGGACAGCAGCAATGCAAAGAGACTGAATCTTTTTCTGAATACGTGAACGTTTTACAAGCCATCGGTACACTCCAGTCCTCCTGCAGAGGAAATGCTGCTGCTCCGAGGAGAGCAGGCAGGCACCTTCGCCCTGTGAGCTCCGGAGCACAAGGCTGGTGCCACCAGTGCCGGGCTTTTGGGTGGAGTTTGGATGACAGAGGTACGACACCGAGGTAGAGTAACATTGCTGAGAAAAGCAGACATGTGGCTTGGCAGGACGCTGGAGGGAGGAGAGGCTCATGCCACACTTGCTTCATGTGGTTACAGCCCTTTGTTAAGAACATGGGGAGAGGAGGGGAACTGCCGCACGCATCCCAGTCCCA